GTACACGTATGCAGCATGGCCAGCCATATGAGAATGAAGTCGCGGACCCGTCGGCTGATGGCACAAACGCTCAGTTCGTTCCTTCTAGCCCGAGGATCCTGTGCCGCAAGGGTGACCTGGTAGGCGTCCATCAGGAGAAACACAAAGTACGGAAACCACAGCATAGAGAAGGCCATAATGACCAGGCCGATGGTTTTTGTACCTTTCAGGCTGACTGAGGGTCGCTGCGCCAGGGCCTTTCGACTGTACACGCATGTATCTTTCTCGATGCCGGAGGAATGTGGCTGTGGTGGCTGAGGTGGATGAGGTCTAGAGCTTTCCCGTGACAACAGTACGGGCGGTGTGGTAAACCGTCGAATAATTATGCACAGACCCAGATAGCCGATTAGGAAGAGGAGGACCAGAAAGAGGAAGAGGACGGCCCGCCAAACGAAGAGGGTGGAGACCTTGGAGTCGTGGACGGTCAGGAAGGTGAGCGTACCACTGTCAAACTTGTAAAAGTAGTGTGGAATGGCGGCCAGTTGCGAGGGTAAGATGGCCGGGATGGGCGAGAGGAGCCAGTAGCCGATGATGAATCCGGCGCACCTCCGGGGTGTCCAGTAGTTTGCGTAGGCAAACGGTTTGGTCACGTGGACCAGTTTGTCCAGCCCGATACAGATAGTGCTGAAGAGACTGATATTGAGGAGGCAGTAGAGCAGACCAGCGCCGATATCCAGCTCCCAGCGATTTGCCGGTCCGCGACCCAGCAGAGCATAGCGGGTATTAAAGAAGAGAAAACAGAGAGCGGAGGCTAGGTCTGAGAAGCCAAGGCTCAGCATGAATAGGGGTTGGTTGCTGGGGTGCTGAAAGGGCTGAAGAGAAGAGGTGGAGAGCAGAATGACTAGAACGCCTATATTTCCTAAAGCGCCAGCAAGCCCGGTGGAGAGAGGCACCAAGGCGAGTATTTGCGAGCTGCTACTGTCGTTGAAGAGTCCGCAACCTGCGCATGCATGATCCTCTTCCAGATGCGATTCATTTCCGGTGAGTTGATCCATCGGCTGGACGCGCACATTCCGGTCAGAACAGTTTGCGGCTTTGAGCCGACGATGGCTCTTCCTAGGTGTAATCAGGAAATATGCCAGCAGATACGGGTCTAGGGGTTTGCTAGACGGCCGACGTAATTGGACGATTAGCCGAAGGCGCTGATTGGTCAGAAGATTTAATTTTGGGTAATAGGGAAAAGACTACTCAATGACCTCGACTGCACATTAGTTACCTGGTTGAGAGAGACGCAAATGAAAATGCATGTCAAGTTTCTCGTTCTGTCCCTCTGGGGTTCTGTGATCGCAGTCCCAATATTTGTTTAAGAACCTATCAGGAAGGACACAAAGACCATCAAATAGCCTATGTTCAGTGTTAGGAGGCAATATTTTTTACGTCAAACTTTGCAGTTACAGTGAAAAC